AAATTGTCAAACAGACAAAGCAGCACTTAATTTCCTCCGTAAATCGTGATTTCTCATAAGATCACAAGAATGCGTCGCTATGCGGATGCAAGAAAATGTCACGGAATTTTTGGTGGCACATTTTATGCTTCAGTTGAGGAGAGGTTGATTTATCCGGTGGAATCAAAAAAATTGCAGTTTCTTTTAAATGACGTAAAAGTATAACCTAAACATAAAAATACCATGTTTTTTACTTCACTTCAAAGAAATGAGGGTTAATAATTTCCATTTTTGTTAAAATCGGCAGTCTAAATAAATATCGGCTCAATAAAGTCAAGCATCGCAAAAAAGTAATTCTCAGAGCTACGAAATTGTAAAAATTTAATATTATGAAGCAGGAAACACTTTTTATTTTGAAAATGCGATCCAACTGATGAACAACAAGTTTAAGTATGCAAAGCATATTTCATTCCCTTAATTACTTTCAATTTCTCTTGCCAATATTGAATATCCCGTCAAACGTAATATCTGCTAAAAATGGTCGATATAATTTATTTCTTTACAATTGGGCGCCAAAATGTAGACACATTTTGCAATAACTCAGCAATAGACAGATTTACCTCTGTTGCATTTTGTCATTTTTTATTTATATTTATTTTTGCAATCCTCCTTACCAGAATGGAACAATGTTCAGTAAACCTCTATTTGAAAATTAACAGACTTCAAAAATTCCAGAGTGAGGCAGGCAAAATTTTATTTCCTTCATAAATCACGCCTTTCGATGCAATCGCAAGGAAGCATTGTGGGCTTACAGAACTATAAACCCAAACTTTATTTGGTATAGAATTGGTATATCTTATGATAATCATAGTTCGTTGAAGTTTAAAAAAGTAATCAAATAAAAATATACCACTCAAGAAACCCTCACAATGGGAGAATTTTGGTGAGAATTTTGTTTAGAGTACTTTTCAAAATAGTGAAAACTTAAATTAATAAACGAATACTCGTCCAGGATTTATTGACCTCAATGCAACGAAGCAGATTTGTGGGAGATGATATTATTTTATTACATTTTTATATTTTATATTAGGTAAGATTAAAGCGGTTAGTAGTCATTAAGCTCAATTATGGCCAGTTCATCAAGTTGGATAGAGGGAGGATTTTGTCCAAACCAAAGAGGTTGAGAATGCAGTCATCAGATAAAAATTAATTAAATTTTAGAAAAAAATTCGAGTAGCATTAATATACAGTCATTGAATGTCGTTAAATCTGGAGGATTATCTCGCATAAATGAGCAGCATGCTCAAATCTCTAAATCAGGAAAAATGTACAGTCATTTTGGTTTTTGTTTTATATAGCCAGGTGGACACCAATGATCATCGAGCAGTTGACCTTCAAACTTACAAGTGTAATTTCCGAACTGGTGTTGAATACTGCTCCAATCCCACCCAGTCCATATGAACTTAAAGTCATAAATGCAAATGAAAAGATTCCACTGTTAGCCATGTACCTAAGCCAATCACAAACTTGTTTTCCTACATCATAGCACAAATAACTTGCAAACAAAGTGAAAATTGAATTTGTAAATTACGACTTGTTTAGAATTTAGCTGAAGTTATTTATTACTATAAGTTTTCTGTTCATATAAAATTTGGGTTGGAATATTAGGAAACCAAGTAAAAAATTATTTAAATACTACTTTTGCACCTTTTTAAATATCGAAAACCTACTGTACGGGTGAATATCTTTAGTTAAAAAAGACTTTTAGAGATCACAGGTTGAAATCGATTTTTTAGCAAGGAGTTAAAAGCGAATGAATAACAAGTGAAATTTTATCATTTTACATCTATGGACCCAACTAGTTGGCTAGTGGGGTCTTTGTTGGCACAGAATAACATTTGCTCTCAGTTTTAAATTGGATTTCAATCCACGTGCTAATGATTTCTTAAGCTATTTTGCCATTAGTGACACTAATATGCCCCTCAGGCAAAATAAAACAATAATTCATGATTCTTTAAGAACTTTCGATACGCATATAGGAGGAATATCAACGAATTCTAACTCATTATGGAATGGATTGGTCAGTTGATAAGAATTGATTCCTTTTTAAGTGAAAACAGTTCAGGAATTCTTTTAGTTCAAATTTGCTTGGCTAATACATTTTTGTAAAGCTATGACTATAACCTGACTCTTCAATGAATAAAATTGAAAAAAACATTTATTGCCACTAGACAGTCGGCCAATATACGCAGGAAATAATATAAAGCAGTAGTGGCAATCCAGAGGATGAATTACAAAATGTGGATTTCATAATTAATATCAAATGGCAGGCTTTATGATAGCTATCATTAGCTCTTTAGTTGACTTTGGCTTCAAGGAGAAGAGGAACATCAAGGTCGCACAATCTCGAGAGGGGGAAGAGAAGAGTGATTCACAGCTGCAGAAGGGGCAGAGGGACACAAAGGCAGAGAAAAGGTACGAAGAGTATTGTAGAAGTGGTGGAATATGGCATACAGGGAGGTCATGGTAGCTTGAAGTCAGAAGTAAACTGTCGGTTTATTGAATTTTTAGCCGAGTGATCATATGTCACCCAGGGTGCACAAAGTGGAAGTAAATCTATCGCACAACCAAAAGTTTCCAATAGGAATGCCTAGTTGCAAAAGCGAAATCCAAACCCCAAATATAGCAAGAGCCTTTATTAACTTCAAGTTTTTTATGAATTCTCTACTTTTCAATTTATTGAACTTTCTTTTAGCTGATATTAATCCCTTTTCAACGATGGAACATTTGAAATTCGTTTGCATTACCGCGAGAAGTTATAACAAGTCCAATGGTAGTCAAATTCAAGAAAATGTAGAGATGCTGAATATGATTTTTAGATCGTGGGAGATCGAATTTAGCAATAAATTATCTGAACCAAGTTTCCATACAAGCTCCAAAAAAATGTAGTCGAATTGAATTAGACTTATTTGGTGGCTTTGAACGATTTGGCATATAGAAGAGACGCCATGTTTATGCAAAAACCATAACTAAGACAACTGTCATCAAATTTTTTAAGAGCGCATTAAAATACCGGAAATATTGTGGCAGTCATTTCCGTATTTTCGTTTTTATTTGGGCTCAGTTTTGTTGAAAATTATTATCTAAACAGAAGTTATTCAATGAACACAATATGCTATTCACGAAATAATCCAGTATCAGAAAGTCTTTTTAACAAACATCTTCAAGAACTGAAATACAGAGGAAAGCACACTACACGGGTTTATTGATGTCAGGACACACCTCAAACCTCCATTTACTTTAAGTATAACGAATTATGGTGCTTAAGTTTCATCAGAGGCGTGTTCACCTTGCATTTCCGTCATCCACACTCTAACTTTGCTCCTAGATTCGTGTGGAACTTTGGCCACCGTATTCAGAAATCGTTTGGCCGACTATTTTATTACTGTGTTTAGTCATGTAGCCATCATATATCAATCAATAAATTTACCATTACAGTTAACAAATTAAAAAACCTACTGTTATCATCATAAGCGAGCTACAAATATTTTGCATTTGTAATTAATATTTATTAAAATTGAGCCACAATTTCAATAAGTGAAATATGGTGCAATATTTTGTAGCAACTTAGTAGTAGTAACTTATTGAATAGAATTCCGATACGCTTGTTACAGAGTACTAAATGGAGTGCTCTTTCCTCAAATGCTGGCCGTAGTCATGGCAATGGGAGATTCATAGCTGTAAAAGTGGGAGTGAAACCAGCAGGCTTTGTTCGTTCAGGTATATGATTGCTTCTGCTATCAAAGTGCTTCTATAATTAGATTTTGACTGACAGGATTAAAGTACAGTAACAAAGCAGCATTCATTGCTGAGAACATTACATTTGACCTAGTTGACAACAGCAGAAGCTCCCTCAGGTACTTAAAATTGATTTATTTATATCAAATGGCGGGCGTTTTGATAGTCATCATTAGCCCCTTAGCTGACTTCGGGCTTCACAGGGTGGAGGAGCATCAGAGTGAGAGAAAGTCGAGAGGGGGGGGGGAGACAGAAAAGTTGGAGTCATAGATATAAAGGAGACAGATATAAAGGTAAAGAAAGGGTATGGTGAGTACTGTGGAAGTGGTCGAATGTGACATAGAATTGTTTCATGGTGGTTTGAAGTCAACTGCCGGATTATAGACTTATTTACCGTATGATTATATGTTGCCCAGGGTGCATCACGCTGAGGTTAGTTTATCCCACACCCCGGTAAGTAAAATTACGAGACACAAATTTCAAAGAGAAATTAATGATAAATAAGATTAAATTCATTAGACCTCATATCTCTCTTCGTTTAATACATAACATTTAAGGATCAGTACCTCAGTCTCTTCAAGCTATACTTCCATTTGACCTTATTATCACAAAGAGGAAATAGCAAAGCTCCCGAACAAGCTAAAAAGTGAAATTAATTGCGTTCGTGGATAAAATTCACATATATCAAAGGTATTAATGAAATAATGTACTAATAACGTTTTTGACACACTAATATTCATAATGATTCGTTTATGACTATGACCCTGACTTGGTGAAAGAATTTTAAAACGCTTTCGATGTCCCATTTTAACCACCCGCCTCAACCCCCCTCCCCCGCTCCCACCTCCCTCAAAGATTGCAGAAATTTAAAAAGACATCAAGCACAGCTATTTTCAATAAATACGGAGATTACATGAATTGGGAATATCAGGGCAATTTCTTGTCTCTCTATCAATTTTTGCCATTCTTTGTTTCCCACACTCTTTGTCAGATAAATGCATTGGGAAATTATAGGTGGCATTCTCGTTTTGCATGTTGGACGAAATAAAGAGATAGAGCTTAGTTAAAGTCGGAAGTTGAATTTTGTATAAGGAAGAAGATAATCTTAATTTTGTTCATCTGCGATATGTACATTTTTGGGTTAAGAGAACTGAACACACATTGCACATTGAAGGACAAGGATGTCAAAAGGGATGGGAGGTTGGGAGAGGGGAGGAAGAGGTTTATTCAGTTAAGGTGGAACTCCGTCTTCTCTCCAGTAGGTAACTGGAATTTCGACCTCTGGGTAGATTCGGGGTCTCTGAAATTGATGGACGGGGATTACCTCCACTAGAAGCCGTCGGTAAGGAAATGAGCGGAGGTCGGTATTCATGTTGGTATCGCCGTTCACGCAGTCGAGCGTTGATATTTAGACAATGACAAGTTAGAAGTTCCCAGAACGGGCGACGGAATTCACGATTGAAAATGGCATAGATAAGGGGATTGAGAGTTGAATTGACATAACCTAAACAGAAACCAAAATAAACGTCAATGGTATACTCCATAGTGAAGAAAAGGTAACCTAACTTCTTTGTCTATTAGCAATATTCGCATAAATTCAAGGAAAAGAAAGAACCAACCCAATATATTCGTCTGAAAAAAATTAGAACATATCTTTCGTGAACACGTTGTCTTTATTTTCTAGGGACAGAAACTTATTTTGAAACATCAGATATCAGGAATCTCATAAAAAAGGGTTTAAGCAAAGTCAAGACGCCAAGAAAAAGTTGAATTTATCCCACCTGTCGTTGAGTGAAAATTTTGAAGTTCACAGGCTTCAATTGTATACGAATCTTTCAAGAAACTGGATCGTGTTTGTACTAATGGCGGAATCACAATTCTACCGGCGGAATTCTCGATAAGACCTTCAGGTGCTCAAGGATGATTAAAAGGTAATTGTTACAAAGCATCGTATAGTATTCATATCACATGGCAGGCTTTATGATATTTATCATTAGCCCTTAATTGACTTCAGGCTTCACAGAGGAGAAGGAACATCAAATTGAAAAAAGTCGAGAGGGGGAGGGGGAACAGAAGAGTGTCTCAAAGATGTAAGAGACAAACACAAAGGTTGAACAAATGTGAGGTGAGTACTGTGGAAATAGTCGAATATGACATACAGTTAGGTGATGGTAGTTTGAAGTGAGAAGTCAACTGCTAGTTAATAGACTTTTTTGCCGTATGAATATACGTTGCCCAGGGTGCACCACGTGGAGGTAAGTCTATCACACACCCCAGCATCGTATAGTAAGTTCATTTCACTCTCTACAAAGATAAAACTTATGACAAAGATCGCACTGTGCCAGGTATGGAAGTCATTAACTCCGGAATAGATGAACCGAAATCCCGAAACTTCTTTAAATTGCATTTCCTTAGCTCTCCTAGTGCATTTGCATCTCCAATCACTGCAATTTGTGTTGGCTACGTTGTTAAACGGAACCCACTATGTACATTGTCAACATATGAGTACTAAAATCTGCATACGAAGTTTCCAAAATTTTATTAATATGAATTCAATTTTGAATAGAATCCAAACATTAAATGTAAATAAACCTATATTTGCATATTTAAACAAAACTAAAGTTTTTTTCCGTTAGAATGTAAGTCTCTACTTCACTTTCTGCATCGTGAAAGCGGTAGTGCTCGGCTTAATTTGTCTTCATAACTAGGTAAATTGAATAACAAAAGTCACTCTTGTTTAAAGCGAGTAAGTATGGATTTAATTAGTAGTAACTACCAAATAAATAAAAATAAGCGTACTCACACAAATCATTGTTTCAAACTAGATTTCAAAAGAAATAATAAAAAAATCATTTTCAAATTTAAAAAAAGGCATAAGCTGTGACAGTAAAAAATCGCATATTTTAAATCAGCAATAAAATTTAGTTCCTTTTTAAATTATGCCTATCAAACATTGTATTTTCACTTCAACTCTTTCGAATTGAGCTGATAATATTTCAATCGCTTTTTTGAGAAAAAAATACTGATTTTAAATTGAAAAAAACTTTTAAGTGGTTTTCCACTTCAAAATAATCTGGAAATCCTTTTTCCCCGAAAAGATGGTAATTCAATTATGCCAGGTCGGACAAATATGAGGATGTCGTAGAATCACCCCATTTAATTCCTGAATGCCTTGAGAGGTCATTCTTGTATTTTTGCATTTTAGGAATCTAAGCACACGCAAAATGCATAGAATGAGCTGTTGGCTTTGGGGGGTAGAGTTTTAATGATGACTGCTCGAGAGATAACGACGTACTGATTCAATTAGAAATTTTAACACGTCATCACCAAAGTTTTTTATAAGGCGGGTTGATTTTGGGGCTTGATCTGAATTCACACTGGGAGATTCCTATCGTTCAAGTCAAAATTGACATTGGTGGACAATCCTCACTCGATCATAAATTATATTAATGATTTTATTAGTGCTGCAGGCGTTTATGTCACTATCAAAGTAAAGCAGCACGCAATATCTGTCTGCTATGGAGTTGATTGTTTTTGTTCTTAACAATATTATGAAATTGGGGTGTGCGATAGACTTACCTCCACGTGGTGCACCCTGGGCAACGTATATTCATATGGCAAAAAAGTCTATCAATGGACAGTTGACTTCTGACTTTAAACTGCCATGATCCCACTGTATGCCATATTCGACTACTTCCACAGTACTCACCTCACCTTTTTTCTACCTTCGTCTTTGAAGCACTCTTCTGTTCCACCCCCCCCTCTCGACTTTTTTTCCACTTTGATGCTCCTTCCCCTCTGTGAAGCCTGAAGTCAACTAAAGGGCTAATGATAACCATCAAAACGCCTGCCATTTGATATAAATAAAAAATAAATAAATATTATGAAATTTATTGCTTAGAAATGAATTTGAACGAATTGACTACAGAGGAAAAAGCTAGCAGAGTTGTTTCCTCCACCTCGTCTGAACACAAATTGAATTGGAACATCTGTTTGTAAAATGCACGCTTTTTTGCTGCTTCCAAATTTAACCAAGTGTAACAAAATTAAATCAGGAATTTGGAATTCTTTTCAAATTTCTTATAGTGTTTTTTTAATTTATTTTTAAAAAATGGCTGTTTC